TTAATATTCCGGAGGCTACTACGGGAATACAGGCATATTGTCTTGACGAATGGTTGAATGTCTCCTGCTCTATTAACTGCTAATGCATTCCGAACAGAAGATATATATAACTAGAATTATACATGACATGGCAGCTGGCATCAGGGTCATTATTGAAACAATCGAGACAGAAGAAGAAAAGAGAAGTAGAAGACTCGTCACAAGGAAATTTCGCTTTTTCCATATCTATATCAGGTTTCCTCTGAGAGCCTGCTCGCGTTCTATGGCCTCGAAGAGCGCACGGAAGTTGCCAGCACCGAATCCGGAGAAGTTGCGTCGCTGGATGATTTCGATAAAGACGGTAGGACGGTCCATGAGATGCTGACGGAGAGTTAGCAACGTGTGCATACACATGCATGGGAAATTATTACGGGAAAAACATACTTTGGTGAAGAGTTGGAGGAGATAGCCACCCTCGTCAAAGTCAATGAGGATGTCAAGCTTCTTGAGGGCTTCGAAGTCCTCCTCAAGAACCATACCCTGCTTCTTCAAACGCATGCGCATGTCGTCATAGTACGTCTCTGGGACCTTGATGAACTCAAGACCACGGGCCTTGAGCTGTGTGATGGTGTCGATGATGTTTTCGGTTCGGAGAGCGATGTGCTGAACACCAGCACCGCTATAGAAGTCGACGTATTCTTCGATCTGGGACTGCTTCTTGCCCTTGGCCGGCTCGTTGATGGGCATTTTGACGATGTCGTTGGGGGAAGACATAACGATACTCTTGAGGGCAGAGAATTCACTATTCATGTGTCAGCTGTTGTTTGGATAAGCTGTACAGGGTAGAGTCTGATACATACGTGCAGATATCCTTGTCATCAACAGACCAGAAACGGTGGAATCCGAGCACCTTCTCGTAACTATTACAATGTGTCAATTCCCTAATTTCACAAACACTAGCAAAGAGCATGAGAAAAGGGAAGACTTACTAGTCACAGACCTTCTCCATCTCATTCCAATCCTGATTTCCGACACAGTGGTCGATCCGCTCGAGCTTGACTTCTGGAAGGAACTGGGTGATTGGGTCTGGGGCGGCGGTTTCATCACGATATCCAGGCAGGAAAAGGCCCTTGTATGCCTTTCGCTCGATAAGGGTATGTGTGGTCTCACCATAGGTCTGGATAGTGGCATACTTGATCTGACCATTCTCGTCCTCAGAAGTCTTTACCTCAGATACAACCTTAGCACCGTTTTTCACAGCGGCATCGAAAACGGCCTCAACGGAGTCGACTTCGAAAGCAACGTCCTTGACACCGTCGCCGTGCTTCTCAAGATGGGCGTGGATCTCCTCGAGGTAGGCCTTCTCCTCGGCAGGGTAACGAGCGGCTTGCTCGAGCGATCGAAGCGGTGAGGTGAGGACAAATGTGACGGAGCCGTTGGAAACAACGTGAGAGGCGATAGTCTTAAGGCCGGTTTCCAGGCCACGGTAGGCGATCTTCTTGAAGCCGAGACGTGTCACATAGTAGGTGGCAGCCTGCTTTGCGTTTCCAACATACCAGTGAACGTGATCATAGCCCTTGTATTGGGAGAGGTCGGCCGGAGCAGCAGCAGCAGCCTGGGGAATGTCGGCAGCGGGAGCCATGTTGATGGGTGTTCGAAATTCGGTGGTGAGAGTATTGATTTTGTTTCTTTGACGACTGCACCCGCATATACGCTGAAATGAAGAAGGAAAGAATAAGATCAGGAATGAACTCTGTGCGAACGAGCAGTCTTTTGTACGGTTCCTTAACCCCAAACCAACAACCGACTCATAGACGCCACAATGGTCAGCAGCGACCCTTGCGCACAGTTTCTTCCCGGAGATTCGGCTTCCTTGCAGGCCAGGCAATTTGATCCTCCTCCTATGCCTCAATAAAATAGCGGGCAGCCGTCTTAAACTTCCTGTGGTCCATTCTCCACGCTTTGCTTTTTCCGCTGGCTCTTGCTGTCTTTCTGGGCCAGGCTATTTTCGGTCGCCCGGCTGTTTACGGGTATTTCGAACCTGGGGCGCATTCACCCAATAATATTCATTGCCGGGTCGGCTATTTCAACGGTCTCAAATTTTACGTCATCAAACAGCCTCCGCTTGGCACCCTGGTCACGCTTCGGGTCTTTTTGACCCCAGCAGCAAAAAACATCCTAGCCAACGCCGACCGGAAGGGATATCAGATATCAGATATCAGATCCTGTCGTCGCCAAAGTCGTTGGACAACTTGACACAGACCGGCTGTCGTCTTCTTTGTGAGAACAAAAGTGAGGCAGTACCAAGCAGGACACTTTAACCACCCCCGACACGATGGCTCCAACTCCAGAATCGATTGCGGCCGCAAAGCCGTCACTCACATCGAACGACTCTGCTGTGCTTCAGGCTCTATTCGACGCTGAATCGTCTCCTTCTAACGGCATCAAAACGGACTCGACTCTCCCTCAGCTGCCCAATATCGCAGATGCTGACGTCCAGTCGCTAAAAAAACGGGAGTTGGACGCTCTTCGACCCCTGCAGACCACCAACGAGAACCTAACACCGGAGATAATTCAAACGGCCATAGCGCAGCTTTCGGGGATTATCGAAGAACACCCTAACTATGCGCCAGCTTACCTAAATCTGGCACAAGCTATACGCTTGTCGATCGACACGGGCTCCCAGAATCAGCCGGACGGGCCTCAAACCACGCCGGCACCTTCGAACCAACTGTTTGATAATTTGGCCAAAACAATTGCTCTATTGACCCCTTCGTCGTCCTCGGATGCCATCTCGCCCTTCCACTCTCGCATCCTGGCCAATGCCCACACCCACCGTGCATACATACTCTACAAGGCAGCTCGGTCGAAGGATGAGAAGGAGAAGGAACACCATCGACGAAACTTGCTACCACTACAGCTTCAGGATGTCTCAGATGAACGCCTGGAGGAACTTGCGAGCTATGATTTCCAGGTCGGTGGCCGGTGTGGCAATGAGGCAGCCAAGCAGATGGCTGTCGGCACCAACCCATACGCAAAGATGTGCGGTGCTATTGTGAAAGATGCCATTGAAGCTGAGATTGCCAAATGGAATGAAAGCCGGACATGAGGTGGTCAGCTAGAACCAACTGCACTCCGCATGAACCCCAGTCAGGCTGGGCCAGTTGTAAATATTTTGATTACTATCACTTTAGATGTAAAAAAAGAATGTAACGAAGTTATGAGATTATATTTTTAAGTCGTTCTATCCATGGCCCCACTGAAATGTTGGTTGTCTCAACGGATATGGAGTATTGGTCATTATTGTGCTAGCTAGGGTCTTTCGAACAATCATACAGAAAACAGGTCAGGGATAACTGGAACAGCCGTGATATACCGCTTGAGCCATTCTTCTTAGCTCACTTCTTGTTTGGGTTTTTGAAGTATCTTTTCAATGGTGTCCAACTCTCCTCATTGTAGTCGTCCTGGACTTTCTGGCAGGTCTTCAGACCCCATTCAGACACGCCAATCATCAAGCAACTAGTCAAAACGTTAGCAGTAGAACGGAGGAAAATGGAGCTACGTATTTAAGTTAGCTCACCTTTCGAACATGAAGGCCATGCTGCCTTCGCCAACCTTCTTTGGAGTGAGTTCGGCATTGGAAGCGCCTTCGTGGCTGGCCGCATCCGGGCCATGGGCACTCATGACATTATGCAAACTTGCACCAGCGGGCTTGAAGCCTCCTGCCGTTTTGGCATCGTAGTCTCCACTGATCAAGCCCATAAATTCAGACATGGTATTCCGGTGGTACCATGGGGGCCGGAAGGTGTCCTCCTGCACCAGCCAGCGTGGGGGGAAGATGACAAAGTCCGCGATGGCGGTGCCGGGGTGGTCAGATTGGCCAGTGAGGACAGTGAAGATAGAGGGGTCAGGGTGGTCGTAGGAGATGGATCCGATAGTGTTAAATCGGCCTAAGTCATACTTAAAAGGATAGTAGTTGCCATGCCAGGCGACAATATCAAAGGGCGTGTGAGGCTGAGTGGCGCGGAAGAGGGTGTTGTTGAATTTGCTGAGGATGGTGTATTCGCTAGGCTCCTCCTCGTCATCGAAGGAAGCGACAGGAGCTTGGAAGTCGCGGGGGTTGGCCAGACAATTGGATCCAATGGGGCCGAGTTCGGGGAGTTGGTAGTGTCCCTGGTACAACTCACAGATGTATCCTCGGACAGGACCTTCGGGGAGGGTAACGCGGTAGCTACATACGACCATAAATATCAGTCCATGTTCAACCATATATTCCCAGATGCGGGAAAGAATTAGTCTGGCCTACCGGACACCTCGGGGAATAACACAGATCTCATTAGGACGGACAAGGATTCTGCCCAGCTCGGTCTGGATGTCTAATACTCCGTGCTGAGGGACGATCAAGAAGTCACCATCTGCAGAGTAGAAGGCTTCTTTTCCCATATCTTTGCCCGCGGCGAAGAGCAGAATACCCAGCCCATGCTTCGTAGCGGGATCACCAGCACCAGCGACCAGGTGCAGGCCACGAACCCAGTCAACTTTCTCATCAAGGTCAAAGGGGTTCCATCGTAGCTGGTTGGGGATCTGGCGGAGCGAAGTGGCATCCTTGCTCAGGCTGGTATGATAGGTTGAGGCATCAACCTCCTCAAACGGCCGGTGAGAAGCTGCGGGGATTATTCTGTACAACCATGTTCGCAGGTTCTCATGTCGAGGAGCCGTGAAGGCTGTTCCGGATAACTGCTCGGCGTAGAGGCCAAACGGAGGCTTTTGGGGAGAGTTCTGGCCAACTGGCAGGGCCCCCTTAACGGCTTCGGTTCTTTGCAAATCAGCAATCATTCATTTCATCTCATACTTATCATTACAATTAAGTAGATATGGATCACTCACTCGTGGTAGGAGCCGAAGCCGTTCTGGTATGTGTACTTTTCTGGCGTGGAGAAGGCTGTGACGGGCATTGTGGCGTTTGTCTTGACCGTTTAACTAGTGATGAGAAGAAGAATTGAACGTATGCGGGGATCTGAATGTCCCAAATTGCTGATGAAGAAGACAAGATATCGCGAACGCTCTTCGAGGAGTTTATATGCGCCCTTGTCAGCGGCCTCGAACGAGAGAAGTTGGTCGTCCAATGTGTTACTCGCTCGTCATCTTATCCCATCCAGTCTCCCGAGCGAGCGGAACCCGGAATTAGCCGGCGCGGGAAGGTTCCGCGGACATGGAAGGGCGTCTTGGCACCAAACAGGCGCCAGAAAGCTTTGGCCATCCGCAACCCCGCCGGCAAAAAACAACAAGCAGGAGGCGATGACTAAGCTGAATAACACCAACTGCCCCTCTCCCGAAAGAAGAAAGAGCCGGGAGAAGGAAACTGCCTTCCTCTTTTTCTTTTTTCCGTTCGTTCCTTCCGTCTTTGTGGTATGAAAGTGTTATTGCTGCTCCTTCTCTGTCCGCTCCGACCATTGCGAACTTCACCGTCCCGCTTCCACAGTCAATTGCGCAGCTTCTCACCGTCATCCATACCACAGTTTAGAAAGATGTCGAACGCATCGTGGCTCCAGATCCCACGGGATTCTCCATTTTCCCTGGCCAACATTCCCTTTGGCATTATCTCAACAGCGGCGCTGGCTGACCCCCGACCGGCTGTTGCCATTGGTGACTATGCACTGGACCTCTTCGCCTTCTCCTCTGCTGGTGGTTTCTCCAAGCTTTCCTCTTTCTCTTCACACATCGACGTCTTCACTAAGCCCACTTTAAATGACTTCGCCGCTCTGGGAAGACCGGTTCACCGTGAGGTCAGGGGCTACCTACAGGACATTTTCCGCGATTCTACCCCTTACCCAGAGATCCTCAAAACCAACGAGGACCTCAAGGGAAAAGCTCTCGTCCCGCTGAAGGATGTCACCAACCATCTACCCATGAAAATTGGTGATTACACTGATTTCTATGCTGGCCTGAACCATGCCTTTAACGTTGGAGTTCTGTTCCGTGGGCCTGACAATGCCCTGCAGCCAAACTACAAACACCTCCCCGTTGGATATCACGGCCGTGCCTCCTCCGTCATCGTCTCTGGCCAGCCCGTCCGCAGACCAAACGGTCAGATCCTAGCTAACCCAGCCGCCACCCCCAAGGTTCCAATCTTCTCCCCTTGCAAGAAACTTGATATCGAGCTTGAATTGGCTGTCTTTGTTGGCAAGGGGAACAAGCTAGGCGAGCCCATCCCCATTGACCAGGCTGAAGATCACCTGTTTGGTGTCGTCTTGATGAATGACTGGTCTGCTCGTGACATCCAGGCCTGGGAGTATGTTCCTCTTGGACCGTTCAACGCAAAGAACTTTGCTACCTCCATCACCCCCTGGGTTGTCCTCATGGATGCCCTCGAGCCTTTCCGTTCCACTGGTCTCGCTGCCGAAGAAGGTCTCGATAATTTGCTGCCTTATCTGCGTGAGAAGAGAGCGGAGAACGTGTACGACATGCAACTCCAATTTGATCTCAAACCAGCAAACAGCAGCTGCACCTCGACCGTGGCCAAGACCAATGCAAAGAACTTACTCTACTCCTTTGCCCAAATGCTTACCCACCACTCTGTCACCGGTTGCAACATGAACACTGGTGATTTGCTTGGCAGTGGAACCATCTCTGGGAAGGAGACTGGCACACTTGGAAGTTTGCTCGAAAATACTCAGGGTGGAAAGCAGCCTATGAAGTTGTCCGATGGCAGTGAGCGTGTCTTCCTTGAAGACGGCGATGAGGTTACTCTCAAGGGCATGTGTGGTGAAGAGGGAAGCTATGTCGGGTTTGGAAACTGCACTGCTACCATTCTCCCTGCCCACGTTATCAACTAAAGCGTTTGCTTCCTGTGTTTGTATAACGAAACTATAACTGCAATTTTCCTTCAAGTATAGATATGAAGTTGATATGAAAAATGAAACTGCACAGTGTTCGATAGCGAGCAATACTTTACTTCATCCTCAATTCCTCGGGCGTATCGGGTTGGTTTTGCCAGAATGCCTCCTTGACGGCTGCTTCCTCCAACATCAAGTCATAGATCCTCTTGGTAGTTGGGTAGTCGGCAAGCTTCAAGCCCACCCGCTCTGCAGACCACACAGCAGGCACCAAACACACATCAGCTAGCGTAATCTCGTCTCCCACACAGAATTTCCCGGCAGAATGAACAACGGTTTTCTCAAATGCCGTGAATCCGGCAACGGAAAACTCCAGTGCCCACTTGGTCGCATCGGCATCCAACTGCTTCACTTTCTTCTGAGCGCGAAGATTGGTCACGGGCTGAATATCTGTTGCAATCAACAGCGCCAATTCACGCGCTTGAGCCCGAGCCTCGGGGTTAGATACCGGTGGGAGGAGGGCACGCGTGTTCGGTAGTGACTCTTCTAGATACTCTAATGCCGCAAGAGACTGGGTGACTTTAAATGTTGTGCTCTTGCCATTCTCCTGGTGTGTGGATAAAAGAACCGGCACAGTAGCGTTAGGATTGATCTCTTTGTGTTCATCGGAGAGCTGCTCTCCTTTCAACAGGTTAACGAAGATCGGTTCATAGGGCGTCGATTTCAGGTTGAGGGCGATCCGGAGGCGGCCAGCACATGAAGACCGGAAGTATGTATAGAGCTGAAACTTGACGTTGGACGAGGACATTGTCGTTGTTTGCTCGTTCGTAGCTAAGTTGTTATCTGCCTTTATTCCGCTGCTTCTTTGATAGTGTACACAATCAGCATCTTTTAATTGAAATCATCTATCTAGGCTCCGAGCAGACGTCAGATGCAGGAAAGAGCCGAGCGACTCCCTAATCACCCGCCAAAAGCCGAGTATTGCCGGATGAACCCCTCTATATTAATCAGCAGCCCGCTCACGTGATCAATTGCCCCCTCGGCCTCGGCCTCGATCCAAACAAAAAAAAACAGTCGACAAAATAAACAAATAGATAGAGAAAAATCGAAGGGGAAAAAAATAGTGGACGAGAAGTCGAGAAGGTAACAGCTCTGAAGATGAACCCGGTGCGAATTGAACGCACAACCTTCAGATCTGGAATCTGCTGCGCTACCATTGCGCCACGGGTCCGTCAGTGGGTCTCTTTTCAGCCAAACATTATCATGGATCTTGCTGGATATGCCTCCCCCCCGGAGCTTCGTTTCGCAGATGCACCCACCCGACCCGACAATTCTATATCATGTGTCTCATTAAGTCTATTTATTAATTCAAGGTTCCTGAATTCTTGTCGACGCCATAGTTCTACTCGGAAAACCTCCATACTGAAAAGGGGTATAAAAATTATTACAGACGTATCCAAACGAATTGCACCGAAACATAACCCCAATTGCTTGGCCCCGAGTTCTGCTCATATCGGTCATAAAAATGAAAATGCCGGATAATTAAAACACCACCCATATTCGTAGACAAGAAGCATCAAATGAATCAAGAAATGGCGGGGAACCATATTGGGTTATTTCCTTTTGAGTTCTTCTAGTCTCTTTACCGCCGGTTTAGGTGTTGGCTTTGCGTTCTGCTTCTTGATCTTCCGCTTGCCATCTCCCAGAGCTATGAATTTTTCAAAGCCATCTGGCAGTTTCTGTAAATTTGGATATGTAGTTGTTGTACCAATTGGCTGGGCCAATGACCAGCGGACTAGCAGCTGATATTTATACTGGTCAAATGTCTCCAGATTAATGAACGGAGTACAGTTGAAGTGCAATGTTCCATTTTCAAGGTATACTTCATTTGCACGGAATTGTCGGTTAAAGCAGGAAATCATGAGCACCTAAAACCAGTTAGAAAAGATAAAGTTGGAGCAGATTGATAAGCATACTGGAAAAATATGATTAGTGATATGTGGGAGCCATAGCATCCGTTGCATCATTATATCAAGGGCCACCAATATTTCACTTCGAGCAAGCCTTGATTCCACGCTTTTATCAGGGCGAAGGCCATGTGTAGAAAACGAGATGACATGACTATCAGACGGACGGCTCTCGTAAAGATCAAGTTCGGTTTGGGCCACCCAATCTGTCCGTTCGTCGGGAAAGAAGTTGGCAAAGTTACCCCCCATCCGTGTATGAGGAATTCTATTCATACAAGCTATTAGATTAAGAAATCTAGCACACAGTGATATAACAAAATGGAGACTTACATGACGCTGCGCCATGGGGTATAGTCCAAAAAGAGGATCTTTTCCTCAGTTTGAGCATGTTCTGGTATTTCAGACTTGATTAGGTCCCAGCACTTATGGTAAATGGCTTCAGCATCTCGCATCCGCCAGTTCTCACAATCCCAGTCGATCTCCCTCTCATGCCTCTCGTCGTAGTTCCAGGATTTGAATTCCGACATCGTAATAGGTCTAAAGAAACGGCCACCTTCATCTAGGTCCATGTTTGACAAGCGTATACGGAATTGTTCCATTTTTTCTTGTGAAATGTAGATGCTCTCTTCATCGTGCGCCCCTCGTAAGTACTTGAAAAGCGGTTTGAGCTTTTCATGATCATCAACTTTGCGTTTAACGATCGCGCGTAACGTTGCAAAGTCCGGTTCAGTTGCATCAGCCATGGCAAGTAATGAAGATGTTGCAGATGTCAGTATAGAGAAATTCAAGTCGAAGGTAGGTCTACAGTGACAGAGTTGGGGCTATAGGAGTGGATAAGATGGTGGTGCCTGGAGAAATCAAAATAAATAACTTCAAGACGCGCTCTATCTTCGCATGGCGGCTTGGCAACGTAACGTGACTTCCAACGCACCCAATAATATTTGGGATCCGATAACAAATTCGTCAAAGAAATCCTAAATTAAACTTCTCGGCAGGAATCAGTTGCTAAAATTAGTGTGTTAAGCGCCGGCTATAAAAAGAAGTTTTCCTAGACTCCAATCATGCTTATATTCGTACAGGAAACATGGATTGTTGAAACCACGCACTGCAGTAATAAGACCATTAACTATGCGGTGGAAGCCAACCACGCACATCAAGCCCAGGTATGAGAAACACCTTAGCGCTGAAGTTGAGCCAGGGGTTCAAGCGTTTCTCGAGCCAAGAGAATAATACTTTGATCTCCAGCATTCAGAAGCAAAGAAGGGCGAGGGGAACACCATAGAGAATATGCATATCTACTCCACACAGGCGCGTATACTCTGTTCCCAGGATAGCCAGAGCTTACACTTGGAGCGGCTACTTAAGCAGGATGGAATTCCCCCTAAAACATGGCAACCCTTCCTAATATCTACTCTAATCTTAAATTCCACAAAACTCATTTCTACTACTTCTATATTGCCCACAAAACGTTCCTTTCATGATCCAAAAATATGCCTGGCTCAACGGATATTATTTCCTTTCCGGTCAACAAAGGGGATTGGACCTCCGCAGCAACAAAATGCAAACTGAAGAACGAGAGTATCCACAGTAAAACTTGCAATTCAGCATCAAAGATCTCCGAAGAGCAGTATCTCTTGCTTCGCAGTTTCTGGGTGACTCGTTCGCCAGGTACAATAGAAAGCTGGGGGATAAAAACCATATCTAAGGCGACGGAGTGGCTCCGGGAATACGATGATTGGCAGAAATATCTCAAAAACCTGGGCTCCCAAGCTACAATGCCTGTCCCACGGCTCGGTTCATTCTCTTACGTTTGTCTATCCCGTCTCCAGGTAACCAGGCTTCCAGAGGAATATGAAGAAGAGGAAGAGGATAAAAACGTCAACTTTAGCCCAATTGCATCGCGGCTTCGATCTTCCGACTACAAGGTATTTCTTGAAAGTCCGACAAAAGCGGCTGCGGAGAGGAAAGGGTTGGACCAGTCTATGGGTACCAATAAATTTGCACAAATGCTACAGCAATTAAGCATCAAAGAAGGCGCCGGTGACAACAGCTCGGATGAGGATATAAAGGGTAAAGGGAAGGTGAAAGACGATCAGGACGAATCAGCTTCTATTACCGGCAGTGATAGCTCTCATGCACATTCTTGGGTACAGATGAGCCCTAACTCCTTCCGCAAGGCATTCCCCAAAGTGGAAGATGAGCAAATCGTGAACGGCTTTTTGATTGCTTTCCTGGCCACACTTTGTATGCATCACCCAGAGGTGGAACTCGAGTGGTCCCCTGTCAGAAAGGGGTTCAAATTTGGCAAATCTCCGGATACAGCCGGGGAAACGAAGTCATTCCTCTTCGAAGCAAGGACTGATGGCCATCTATCGAAGCCAGTGCTGAGAAAGACAGACATACGATCTACGGTGATCGTCGAGGTCAAACCAACACTTCGGGCTTATAACAATCGTGTCATTTACCAAGCCACTGCCCAAATGGCAGCTTGGATATATGAGGAACCAGATGAGCCGGGAAGCCAAGAGCCATATCGGTGAGTTCAGAGTTGAAGTGCACTTCCCTTTCATTCCAAAGTTCTAATATATGATTTGTTAGACGCGCAATGATTCTGCAAGAACGCCAGGAAATCAGGTTAGTCATAGCTAAGTATGACAGTAATTATGTCAATTACCTCAAAAATACTGCAAATGCAGTGGCCACCATATCCCTATTGGAGATGCACGAGGTACGAGTGTGGGATATTGAGAAGGAGAATGAAATGAAAGAATTTGGAAACATCCTTCTCGCACTCGTCCTACAGGGTGGCAAGCTCCTACATTAGGCTTTTAAGCTGCTTATTTGCTATGCACAACTGGTTATCCCAAACGGTTAGCTATCTCTCGGTTTGTATCATTGAAAATTGCGCTGACAGCCTGTGCAGACCTTGATCGACAACTTGGTATTCCCCGTGAATTTGCAGCAGTCGATGTACTCAGAAGCCCCTACAGGACTTCTGGTGGCGGTTGCCCGTTCCTGTCAAAAATTCAATCCTTGGAAGCCGTTTGTTTCTTCAGGGAGTTCAAATTCATATTCACAAACTCTATATATTTCCCTCGTTGCTTTGTCTTTTCCTATTACCGTCTATATAGCCTTAAGAAAATCCCTTGGCCTTTAAATAGGCCTGAAATGTATCGCGCGTATTTCATTCTTACTAGCGAGATTACATCTCCCTTGCCTCCTCCCAAAATCTCAAATATGCGTAGGAAACTAACTCGTGCAATAAGAGAGAAGAGCTAGAGAATAGGGCTTCGGCTGAAGGAAATGTGACGCCGCAAAATTCGATGTGAATATTTCATTGCATTAAGGCATCAGTTTCAGTATCCCTAGTGTTTGTCGCCTCATCTAAGACCAGGATATCAGGGAGCGTAATCATGGCTCGTGCAAAAGCAGTGCAACTGCTTCTCGCCTTAGCTTAGGTTTTAGCCTTCGTGTGAAATAAGGGAATGAAGATTCTGGGGCAGAGTAGATCAGTTACAGAGCTTGTTTGAAGCACGGAATCAGGATATTGGTCAAAAAGATATGAATTAGAACCAGTAGGCCCTGAGGATAGTATGGGGTAGTTAAGGGGGTATTATAGCTAAGCGACTGCGCAGGTCATGCGGTTTAATGTGTGAACTATCCACACCATCAATCTCGATTGCACGCTTCTTTGCTGCGAGGGACCTGGAAAATGCAAGAGTGAGTGATGATTTGCCGCTTCCAATTCGTCCTACTATTCTAATAAGCTCGAAGGGGCATATATGAAAATTGACGCCTTCCAAATTCGCCGATAGGTCAGGCGTATATCCTACTTCGGCGT